ATCATTCAAGGAACTCTGCTTCCTTCTGCAAACATCTGGATCACCACACGTCCTACAGCTGCCAGGCAGATTCCATCCAAACATGTTGACCTGGTGACTGAAATTACAGGATTCAGTCATGCTCAGAAACTGCAGTACTTCAGGGAGAAATGTAGAGATGACAAACTGGTCAGCAAAATCATACCTTACATCAACACATCCCAAAGCCTGAAGACCTTGTGCCACATGCCAGTGTGCTGTTGGATCACTGCTACAGTACTAGAAGACCTGCTGAAGAACAGAGAAGAAGAAAGAAGAAGAAGAACTCCCAAAGAGTCTTGCTGAGCTCTACATCAAATTCTTGCTGGTCCAGTTCAGACAGAAGGCCATGACAGAGGCAAAGATACAGTGGAATCCATCATGCAAGGAAAAGATTATAACTTTAGGAAAACTGGCTTATGAGCAGTTTGCAAAAAGGAAATCTTGTATTCGATCAATCAGACCTAACAGCATCTGGTATCAATCTTAAATCGGTGTCAGTTTTCACTGGTATGTTTCCTGAGATCTTTAAGAAAGAAGGCAAGCAAGGCCATGCCATGGCGTTCTGCTTCACCCATCTGAGCGTTCAGGAGTTCCTGGCTGCTCTGTATGTTCATCTCACTTTCATGACCTCACAGATCAATCTGCTTGAAGAAGTGCAGTCAGGTTGGATGGGTATGCTAGGAAGACGCAGATTAAATCCCTACCACTCTGCTGTTGACAAAGCCTTGCAAAGTCCAAAAGGAGACCTGGACATGTTTCTACGCTTTCTAATGGGTCTTTTGCTGCCGTCCAGCCAGAGTCTGTTAAAAGGTCTGGTCAAAGAAACGGAAAACAACACCCAGGTCATCCAGGAGGCAGTCAAGTACATCAAGGAGAGGCTTGATGCCGAGCTGCCTACAGAACAGAGCATCAATCTGCTTTACTGTCTGAATGAACTGAATGACAATTCTCTCGTGGAGGAGATCCAAAGGTTCATGAGTTCAGGACGTCTTACTGTGGATAAGCTGTCCTATGCTCAGTGGTCTACCTTGGTCTTCATCTTATTGTCAGAAAAAGAAATCGACATGTTTGACCTGAAAACATACTCATCTTCAGAGGAGGCTTTTATGCGATTGCTTCCTGTGGTCAAAACTGCAAAGAGGGTTTGGTACGAGACAAATCTCTACATTTTCTTTAATCAACTGTTTAAAACAACATGTAATACTGAAGTACCATATTTCTGTCTTGCTTCCTTTTCAGTCTGAGTGCTTGTGACCTGTCACAGAGAGGTATCGAAGTTCTGTCTTCAGTTCTCAGCTCACAGAGCTCCATTCTGAAAGAGCTCGACCTGAGCTACAACAACCTGGGAGATGCAGGAGTAGGGCAGCTGGCTGTTGGACTGGAGAGCACAAACTGTTCGCTTGAAACTCTCAGGTTAGGATTAAGCTGTCTACCTGAACTGGTTATTTCATGAATACAGTATTTTGTTCGACAGCAATAACTGGTGGTCCTCTCAAGCCCCTTGTCCACTGACGGGTCTTTGACCAGCTCTTTCCCTCCACCATGGCCAGACTCATCTCCATTTGCAGAGTCAGTGTGGTTCCTCCCCGTTCACTGGAGCCATCCAGCCAGATCTAGCAGGGTACAACATGCAAGCAATTTGATTGGCAGCAGACTGCAATGGCTGACCAGTGGAATCTGTGATAAGACCATCTGCAGGCGTTTCACAGCATGCAGTGTCCAGTCACCTAATTATCTGTCTGGATAATTATTTTTCTGGACATTTTTGTTTCTGCTGGCTAAGACATTGATTTAGCAGTTTGTCTTTGAGGAAAATCTTCCGAATGTACTCCAAGCTGTTTGAGCCTGGATGGTGGGGGTTGTGATTGGCCGGCACTTTGCAGACACTCGATGTGTCATTTCTTTCTCTCTTTCTGCCTCGTCTGTTTTATTAAACAGACAAGGCAGAAATTTTGGGTTTTGCCGATTATCAGGGATTCGAATTGGGACCGAAATTATCTGGTCTTGGACCATTCTATTTTTTTATTTCTTACATTGCCTCTAACAATACCCTGAACTCCAAGTCTCAACCTTTTTCCCTCAGAGGTAAAGTTGCTTTCTCATGATATATGTGACTGGTTCTCATACTCAGGCTGAGTGGCTGCAAGTTGACCTGGAAAGGTTGTGACACTCTGGCGACAATCATCAGCTCCCAGTGTAGCCTGAGAGAGTTGGACGTGAGCAACAACGATCTGATGGATTCAGGATTGCAGAGTCTGTCTGGGGGTCTGGAGGATCCGCAGTGCCACCTGGAGACCCTCCGGTCAGCCTCAGCACCCGGATTTATTTCACTTTTACACTTGAATGTATTTAAAATGAAGACAGAGCATGCTACGAATGAAACTGTGTTGTTTGTGTGTTTTTAGAATCTCTGGCTGTCAGATTACAGAGGAAGGCTGCCATTATCTGGTCACTGCCCTGAATGTAAATCCCTCACATCTGAGAGAGCTGGACCTGAGCTACAACCATCCTGGAGACAGAGGAGTCAGTCTGCTGTCCAGCGGCGTCAAGCATAAAATGTGCAGACTAGAAACTCTCAAGTATGAAACTGAGAATAACTTTGTTTGGTATTACTTTTACAGTTTTTGCTTTTTGAATTAAAGCCGTTAAACTGATCTCACTGTGTTCATTCCTGCAGAGTGGAAAACTGTGGAGAACAGAGGATGAAGTCGGGTTTGAAGAAGTGTAAGCTGACTAGGCTCATTAATTTGACTCGTTTAATTGGAAGAAAATCTTCTCTCTGCTGCTTTGAGGCTTTTTGATGAATCACAAGATAAATATTATACATGGTTTACATGAACTTACAAAGCAATAATGATGATGAATGTTTTTTCTGCTTTTTTTAGATGCTTGTGAGATTGAATTTGACCCAAACACGGCTCACAGGAACCTGCAGCTGTCGGACGACAACAAGACGGTGACTGTGGTGAGGGAAGAGCAGCCGTATCCTGATCACCCAGAACGCTTCGACTTCTGCTGCTGGCAGGTGCTGTGCAGAAACCCGCTGACTGGCTGCAGCTACTGGGAGGTGAACAGAGAGGGACCTGTGGTCATAGCCGTGAGCTACAAACAGATCAGCAGGAAAGGACAAACGGCCGACTGCAGGTTGGGTTGGAACGACCAGTGCTGGAGTCTCGTCTGCACTGACAGGCAGTACTCCTTCTGGCACAACAAGAAGGAAACAGTTTACACAGTGCCCAACGCGTCCCTCATGTCCCGCAGTATAGGAGTTTATGTAGACGTCCCTGCTGGCATCGTGTCTTTCTACGCCATTTCCTCTACTGAATTGTCCCACCTTCACACCTTCCAGACCAGGTTCACGGCGCCGGTGTACCCGGCCTTCGGGTTTGGGTTTGGGTAGGTCCTACGGCTCCTCCGTGTCTCTGTCTGAGGCGTAGGCGCTCAGCCAGCTGATTGAAATAAGACACCGAGGATCTATTTGATTCCTTTGATTCACCAAAACAAACTAAAAAACAGTTCTGGTGTCATGTGGCGTTTTCTTTCTTTTTAATGAAACTAAACTTGTTCGGTGAGGGTTTGGTTAAAATAAAATGTTTTCTTCATTTAATCATTTTTAAAACATTGTTTGAAATTAATATTAGTCAATTGTCTCTCAAATAACGTTCAATACCTTTTCAGTTTATCTCAGTAATAAAAACAAAAGTTAGCAAAAAAACTGATGTTGGTTGTTTTTGATGGTTTCAAGCAAAGTTTTTGTTTATTTCAGGAAACTCTCTAAATGTTGTGCTCTGCTATCTTATGTCTGAATTTGTGTGATTTATTTGTTATCCAGGTTTTTATGCACTGCTTGTATGGATTTATTATGTTCTTAAATCAAAAAAGACTGGAAGGGTTTTTGACATGTTGGAGTTCAATCATTTCTATCTCTGAGCTCCACCAGGTTCGTTAAGCAGAACCCGACCAGAACCCCTCAGTGTAAATTACCTTGAGAAATAATGAGATTTGGTTCTATAAAAACAGATAGACTCCATAAAAGATATTTGATTGTGTAAATCTTCTTGGTTTAAGGTGAATAAAATTAAAAGTGGTGATGCTGATATGTTGTCTGTGTTCTGAAGATGTTACCGTTTATCAGAGTTTCATCTGGATAACACTGTAAACAAAGCACCGGTAAATAATGATAATCTTAAATATTTCAAGCTGACTTGAAATATAAAACATAAATTTAAAACATAAGAAGATACATACTGGAACCAGCACAGTATTTACTACTTGTGAATTGTAGATACAAACAGTCTACAAACATGCACAGAAATCCAAACACGCTCTGCATTCATGCTAAGTAGCCTAGCATGCCACTGAACATGCTAGGCTAGGAACAGAAAAATGTTCCTAGCCTAGCATGGAACATTTTTCACAGGAACAGAAAAATGTTGAAGTTTGTTTAAAGGCACAAGTTAAATATCTGAAAATCTCTCCAAATATTTCACTTCACTTATTAAGTGCTGGTGACATGCAGGCTAACACTAGCCTGTAGCTAAGGTAGCTAAGCTAACAGGTTCACATACTTTAGTCTACCTACCTCTCTTGAAGAAGCATTGAGTTACAAATGAACACCTTCTCTTGTCTTTCTTCTCTTTTTTGAAAACCTGGTTTCATTATTTCTGTCCTTCTTGTCTTCTACTGTCTGTTGCTAAAATCAGACCATCAATGCCTTACAGCAGAGATGATTGGGAAATATGGATGTTGGCTTTCAGGTTTGGAAGTGGTAACATTTCAGTTTTACTGTCAGAAACAAGTAAAAACAAAGATACTGTATCTTTAATTTTCTTCCTGAGATGAGCTGCACAAAATGGGTTTCATTTAATAATGCTGGCACTAAAGTGCAGCATTATCGATGCACTTTATGACTGAATGCAAGATGAGTGGATTCACTCAATTCAGCTTCCTGCTAACAATCGAACTGATGGTGGGAGATTTTGCAGCTTACAACAAGCCTGATTAGCAGTAAGGAGATTACAAGTCCAGCATAGGAAGTTAACCCGGCCTTCCAGAAATGCAGCGTTTGCTTCATGACTCAAACTGCGGCAGATCGGACTTTTCCAGAGGATGACGGCCGTCTGGTGTGAACGCAGAGCAGGAGCATAGAGATTAAATCTGCTCCTCATGGGGGAAGAGTCCCGCTTTAGGTCAGATTTCAGTGTTTCTGTTTCCTTTATTCAGTTCAGTTCCTGTTTTTATGCTAGCTGTGAATGTTGGAGGCTATCGACTGCAGATTGCTGCACAACACATTATTTAAATATTTCTGTTTGTGTCTCTTATTTTGTAAATGAAATGTCTCTAAGCTGTGATTGTCCCTTCTCTGATAAGGACAGGAACCCGTCAGCAATGGTGCTTTGTACTGAAAATGTTTCAGAGGTAAAACTTTGACCTTGTCTTTGTCTGCAGTTCCAGTGTGCTTGCTGTGTCTTTGGAGTTGTGGAGAACCTAAAATACTTCCTTAAGCTCCTTATGACACCCTGCTGGCTGCTTCAGCTGCTCCTCTGTCTTGGAGCCTTCACTCAGACAAAGGCTGCGCCGGCTCTGGACCTCTGACAGTGTTGGACCCTTGTGGACCAGAAACACAGGTTGTGTGGTGATCGGTTAATCTCACAGCAGTTTTGCAGGTTGAAGTCAAATTCTCAATAGTTGCTCTCCATCCTGGAAAGGATTACTGTTTAAATTGTATGTAGATGAAACATAAAATCTGCATTTTACCAGTGCCTTCACCTTCGCAAAGCACTGTTGACCTACATTTTAATAATATTGTTTGTAATGTACGAAACGTTTTCAGCCTTAAAGGCGTTTTGAGCTGAAAGCCTTATTCTGCTGGAATGAGGAGTTTGGAGAAAAGTTAAGAAGATGATTAATAGATCAGATTTCTTCCTGGCCAGTGGTGGATACGCTTCCATTAATTTGCTAATTGCAAAGCTAATTTTAAAACTTTAGCATTTTTGCTAACTTTGAAAACATTTACCACACTTAGCTTCCCCTAATTTAAACTCTAACATGCTAAGTTACTTGGCTGTTTTGTTAACTTTCAGTTGAATAAAACTTGACGTAGCTGTTTAAGTTTTGTTAGCAACTGTGAATAATAAGGTAGTTAGCCATTTAAATTCATGCTCTTATTTTGAAGTTCATTAAGACAATTTACACAGTAGTTCCATTTCCTCTTTTTTTCCAATAATTTTACTGTTCAGAACAAGATATAAACATAAATACAATATATGACAACATTACTGAACATGTAAATTTATAATGTCAAAACTAACTTGATGCTCGAGTTGCACTCTTTCGATGGCAGATATAATTTGAATTGAAGTTAGCGCTTTAGCATTAGCGGAACCAAGGGTTAAAGCTATTAACTTTTTAGCTAGCAGTGCCCGCCACTGGCAAAAGATATTTAGATATTTTATTCAAGAAGCAGTTGTCATGTTTGAGACGTTCATGATCAAATACCAAGTGGTTGTTCTGGTTCTGCAGCCTTGAGGCTCTTGGACTTGACCATGTTCGGTCCCTCCTGGACGTAAGTCCCTCTGAAGCAGAGGGACGACATGGCAGTCGGAAAGATTACCTTCACCAAGACTGAAAGAGAGAAGCTAGCTGAAGTCCTCTGGCTGCTCAACTGGATCTCTGTGGTGACTGGAGCCATTCTGTTTGGACTGGGCTTGTTTCTCAAAATAGAGATACAGAAATGGCAGGAAGTGATGTCAGAGCAGGGGATTCTCTATGTGCCACACATGCTCATCACCACAGGACTAGCAGCCTGTGGCATCAACTACCTCGGCAGTAAGATCTGCCTGGACTGCGCTGACACAAACAAGTTCCTACGCTGGAAGCTGGTGATGATGCCCTACATAGTTTGCACCTTCTTCTTCACTGCCTGCGTCCTGGTGGGGGCGCTCATGTGCTACAGTATTCGGAGTCAGCTGGAGGAGGCCCTGTACCTGGGCCTAAGGACCACAATGCGTTTTTACAAGGACACGGACACACCCGGCCGCTGCTACCTGAAGAAAACCCTGGATCTGTTGCAGATCCAGTTCCAATGCTGCGGGAACACCGACTACCGAGACTGGTTCCAGATTCAGTGGATCAGCAGTCGCTACCTTGACATGACCAACAGCGCTGTGGTGGAGTAAGTTTAATCAGAGCTACTGAAAGACTTTTAAAGTTCTTTAATTTTCCATTTTAACTCAGGTCAGTGTCGAGCAGGAGTGTCCTTCAAGCTTTAGTTCTCTCCCTGATTCAAGACCTGAGCTAAATCGGTCGCTAGCAGGACTCTGTGAACACTGATGTGCAGAGAAGATAGTAACTACCAGGGTGGTGAACCAGAGAGAACTAAAACATGGAGCATTCCAGCCTTTATGACTTCAGGGTTCCCTGGTGAGGGCTTCTTACAGATCTCTGAAGAACTCTTATTGCAGAATACATAGTGGTGCTAAATCTTGCTTAAAGAGTTATAATTCATTGTCCTTCATTGTTCTGACATCTCCAAGATGTCTAAAAGCCCCAAAAATCATCACATGGTGATGGAGACATGAGTCACTCCTGAAAGAGAAACGATGGGGAGCTCTGTCAGACATGGGGTTCTTGGATTGGAGATGTTGCCTGTGGTCACGATGCATCCTGAAGATCTCCCTGTGGAGGTTTTCTAGGAAAGTCCCACCAGAAATGGATTTCTGGGATCACTGGGTTGTTCCTGGCATTTTCAAAGCACTCACAATTCCTTGGGTCTAAGTTGTTTGACAAGCTGTGGCTTTTAGTGATTCTTGGAGTGGTTCAGCTCCTTCAAAGGCTCTGTCGAACTGCATCCAAAGTGTCAATTTTTGACACAGTTGTGTGACAAAAATTGCCCTAGGAATCCCTCAGAATGAGCTGGAAGAGCAGGCCTGGGTCAAACTATTTTGCACAGAGCTTTATGTAAAGTGTTGTGTGATTGGACAAAGGTTTGTGGATCAGTATCCTGATTACCAAGTGATGGTAAGAGACAGTAGGATATGCATATGAGAGACGAGGCCCTGTTTGTAAAGCAAGTCATTCAAGGTGAAGAAAGAGTAAAAACACAATGTGATCTCTTGATTTGGTCGTCAGATAAGAGACTGAAGAACAAGATCATAAACACCCCAAAGGTCAGCTGAATTCAAGTCTCGGGGTAGATTAAAGACGGAAGAACGTCTAAGTTGAGCTTTGAACGTCTGAATATGAAAACACCTATGAAGAGCAGGTTGTGGGCATGTCCCAATGGTAGGAGATCCAGAACGATTTGTAGGGACTAGAAACGCAGTTTGGGAATCACTGGGAGTTTCTCAGAATGACCTGGAGAGCTTCTGAAGAGAGAGATGTCTGGGTTTTCCTCCTGTATTTGCTACTCCATGTGACCAAATAAGTCAATGGATGGATGGAGTTATAACAATGCCGTTCTTCACTGGCAGCAGTAAATTACCACCAAAACGCTGTTTGGTATTCACCCAAGAGTCACTGGCATGATATGCCAAGAGATGTTAGACATAACAGCCAGGCTGTTTTTTCCTCTCCTGTTGCCTTCAGCAATGATTTATGACATTTTCTTTCCATAAAACTAAATGCGAGAACTCACATATCATAAAGAGTTTGACTTTGAGAATTGGTGCTTAAAAATGAATCGGTTTAAGTGAGTCTGAGTTGATTCTACGTTTCAGAATTTTCTTGATAGACCTGCATTTCTCCACATGATCGAGATGTTTGCTGAACTGTTGTGGAAATTTGTCTGCAGAGAAAGTTTTAGCGAGGATGTTTTAAAGACGGAGAACAGGCGATTCTCAGATTGAGGTCACCGGTCCACTGCAGATAAGCCTGAAAGATACTGAGATCAAAGGATTTATCAGGAGGGTTCATCTCAGGTTTACATTACTCAAAATAACCCGACTGTACTGCAGTCAAATGATCAGATGCTGTCTGGACCATGATCAGACAGCAGCTGTGTGTGAGGTCTTGATCTTCCCTCTGTAAGACCTTTCTGCAGGTCTCAGTAATTCTTCTGACGGTTGACATTTTTTGGTCAGTTTTAATCTGCCAATTTAAAACTGTCGGCTCTTCCAGATTGTTTGCTTTTTAAGACAATGACTTTTTGAATCCAAAGAATCAGCCAGTTTGTGGCTCCTATATCATTCGGAGGTGGTTTTGAGATGAAGTCTATATATGGTAGATCTTAGTTTTCTGCCAATCAGTCAAATTGTTTTTTAACAAACTGGATCCATACAGTGAAAGCTCCGCATTTGTGGACTGTAGGAATCACAACCTTCGGTGAAAAGCTAAAACCTTGAGATCTCCTCTGAAAATGCTTCTAATCTGATGGTTCAAACACCAAACAGCTCGCCGGGTCGTTGACTTCCAACACAGTTCCAGTCTGGGATTCCTCTCTTTGAGCTCAATCAGCAAACAGAAGATGGACTTGTGAACAATTATGTAGAGAATAATAGTCTGCCTATGCTGGGTTGTAGTTTAGCAATGGCAGCAGAGAAAGTGAACGAAGTCACTCAGTCCGTGTTGATCATGCTACCAGATGTTGATCAATTAAAGTCAGAGCAAAAGGAAAACTTCAGAGCTTTTAAGATGTCGTTCAGTTCAGCATTTCTCTATTCGCAGTGGGAGATAGTTGTTCATGAACACCCAATTTCTGATCTTCATGGCGTAGATCACCGATGTCAGCCAAACATCAGCAGTTTGGTGAAATCAGATCGAATCGTTTTAAACTTCAGCAGAGTCAGCGCCGCCAGCAAGCAATCGTTCCTCAATGGTCGAAGGTCCAGTAAAGCTTGGAGCAGTGGGCTGGTTTCTGTCAGATCCCAACTCGTTAGTTATCTGAGGTTCCCCTGGTTCTGATTTTAAATGGTTTTCTTTAGTTTGAAACAACAGAGAAACAGTGAAAATGTTTATGCTTCAACCCCAGACGGCATATTTGGAAGATGACAGAGAAAACGACTGTAGTGCAGTGATGCTTCTGTGTTTTCTGCAGCCGTGTGCGCAGCAACGTGGAGGGGAAGTACCTGATGGACAGCGTTCCTTTCAGCTGCTGCAGCACGCTGTCGTCCCGACCCTGCATCCAGCACAACCTGAGCAACCCCGGAGCGCACGCGCACTACGACCAGCGGAGCCAGCAGCTGAACCTGTGGAGGCGAGGCTGCCAGCAGGCCCTGCTGGACCACTACACCGGCATCATGCAGTCCATCGGCCTCACCGTGCTGCTCATCTGGCTCTTCGAGGTAAGCTGCGCTGCCATCTAAACCGAACAGCAGAGACCTTCTCACTCTAAAGCGTAGCCGCTTTTCTCCACTAGCTGCTGGTTCTGACTGGAGTCCGGTACCTGCAGACGGCCATGGAGAACGTCATCCGGCTCGGGGATCCGGAGTCGGAGTCAGAGGGCTGGATCCTGGAGAACAGCCTGGCGGAAACAGCCTGCTACAACTTCAGCATCATCAAGAGCCTGGGGAAGTGCTACCAGGTGGACGACGACCCGAACATCAACGTCCCGACGGCGGCGGCCGACCGGGAGGTTCCGACCCCGGTCAACGTGACCTGCTGACCTCCTGACACGCTCTGACCTGGAGAAGTCCATCGATACGTTCTGCCTTCAGAAACAGACGAAGTTTTGCCATCACAAAAAACTGCAGCAAAACACAAAAACGTTTTATAAAGATTTTAGGTTTTTGTACGCTTCTAAAAATCAACAACAGACTTGAAAATGTTCTGAAACTAAATACAGACGGTGCTAAAGCAGAAACAAATATCCAAGGCTTGAATCCAGTCCAATCCTTCCTGCCGGGACTCTGTCCTCCAGAAACCTGACTGGAGATTTTAAACGTCCTGCTTGTGTCTCTGTTTCCAGAGACGGACAGAAAGGGTCGGGGACGAGGAACCGTTAGTGACGTTACAGTCAAAAGGTAACAGCAATAATTTGGGTTATTTTGGAAAAACAAAGAATGTTCATTTTTCACCATATTATTCATTAGTTTATAAGTGTCACAGTCTCTGCGAGCTAAATATTTAGCATTATGACTAAACATTTAGCTCACTCAGGGCTACATATTCAGTTAACCAACTAACTGTTGGTTACTTAACTTGGACCGAAGTATTTAGCTGGTTAACTAAAATTTAGCTTGATGGCTCAATATTTATCTAGTTCAAACATGAACGTTTAGCTAACCAACTAAATATTTACACTGGAACTCTGTAAATATGTAATTAGCAAGCTATATATTTAGTTTACTAATTACATATTTAGTTCAAAGTTAATTTTATATTAATAAGATGGTGAAAATTTGAACTTGAAATATTAACTCCCATTTTTGTTTCTAATACTAGATAAGCTACATTTTCATTGTAAACTTACAAACATTTTCAGGTTGACATCGGCCCATAAAAACGGGTCATTGTCCAGGTTCTTACATTTTGCTGCCAGAGGGGGCGCTGAGTGCTGCTGGTTTTTCTCCGTTACCATAAAGCAACAAACTTCAGAAAAATCTTTACATAACATTTGGTCCAACTATCATGTCCTTCAGAACCAAGAGTCAAAACATGGTACTCAAAAATATAATTTTTTATTTACCATTAAATGTTTATAATTTATTTACTTTGACAGCAAAATGAAGCCAAAGTCAAATTCCTGTTTGGTGAACAAAAATTACAGGAAGAATTTTAGACTGAAATCTTGATGCCTTCCTCTTGCTGCTGCATTCTTAGCTTTACTCTGTTTTCAAATCGTTTCTGTTAGCTGGAGCTGCTACAGCGTCTCGTTTTAAATCACTTTTCATTAGTTCTGTCCTTCAGATAACTGCTGCATGTGCTTCATTCCTCAATAAACATCACGTCTTTCATTCTGTTTCTTCATTAATTATGTTCAAAATAATGTTGTAAATTTATCTGATGACATCAAATGTTTTGTTCCACCTTATTGTTTAAAGATAATAACATTGATTTCAACATCAAAACAAGAAAATTGGACAATTGACATTCTGCTGTGGAAACTCAATGAAATAATTCAGATTATTTCTGCTTTTTCTTGCTGTGTGAGTTTCACAGAATAATAATTCATTTTGAAGCCTGATAATAATCATCACAACTCAGACACATGAAGGCAGCAGCTTCAGAGAAAGCTAGCGCCCCGCTGGAGGAAGAGGAAACTGCATCGCCTCGACTCAACAAAGCAGAGACAAAAACCATTTTAAAAAGGAGAAAATCATTTCAGTGCATCAAATTAACTAATGATAGCTCTTTCCCAGTAACTATATTATTACCTTTAGTAGTAATATCAGGACGCATGCAGAATTGGTTGGTGGAGATGAGAAAAAATACAAAAATAAAAGCATCAACTCCAATAAATTTTTAAATGATCAATTTAACTTTTTTGCTGTTTTTACAAAAATTAATCAGTTTTTTAATCATTCTTATGCAAGTTAAAATAATTAATTGCAATGTTTTCTTCCTCAGCTTTCTGATTAGCTGCCAGTCGAATTCAAACTGTTTTGTTGCTCAAACTAATGTAGAAAACATGAAATGGAAACAATTTGGAGCCAGAAACCTAAAAGCTGGTGACATTTAAATACATTTTAAATCAATTTAATGTCTTAACAAAATACAATATTACATGATTTATAATCCAAAGTGGGGAAATTTATTATCAGGTAGTATAACATAAAAATGAGTTTAATAAAGTCATAATATAAAATCTGGTAATTAAATTTTCCACCACAGAACTCCTGGCTGACTAAAACCAGGTTTGTGGCCACATTGATGCTAAACTAAAGTAAACATGACTGTAAAACATTGATTATTAAAAACTGGCTGGATGTTTTGTTTTTATAAATCCAAATGAGAAAACAAAAATGTGAAAAATTTGATTTTCGCATATTAATCCCCTGCAGAAGCTGGAGCCCAGCCGATCAGAGTAAGTGAGAATTAAGCTCAAGTAGAGACACTTCAACTTATTTTCACACAAGGTAAAAAATATCCATCCAAGAAATTACACCAGTAAAAAAGTATTTGGTAAAATGTCTACTGAACAAATGATCAATTTAAAAGTTACACAATCAGACAGAACAAAATATAAAGTTATGCCAAACTTTTGTATCTCTAGGACTAAAATGACAATAATTCATATGAATAACAAAAAAACAACAAAATCAGACCAAATATTTTTTTTCCAAATCAGTTTCTTTTGGTAAAATCTTATAAAACTTTAACAGAAACTGCAGATGTGAGTCTGTCTGATGGGTTTTTGGTTAAAACATTTTTGTTTTTCATTCAGGGAAGAAAATTCAGAGATTTTACTCAAGTAAAAGTAAAACGTACAGCATATTAAAAAATACTCCTAAAAGAACAGTTTTTAATTTAAAAAAGTTACTCAAGTAAAAATGTAACTGAGTAAAAGTCAGCAGCTGCAGTCGACGTTAAATGATGACTTTTCTTTGCTGAACATTAAACGCTGCAGGTTTTCTGATGCTTTATGGTTCGTTTCTGGTTCTTTGGATGCAAAAGCAGCTGCAGGCGGTTTGTTGGTTTTAACCTGGAAGAAATCCAGCTGTCCGCTAGGGGGCGCCGCAGATCAGCCGGTTCTCTCTCTGGGCAGAGAAGTTGCTCTGCCTCATGTTTTCACAGTCAGGTTATTTGTAAAGCAGTGGCGGAGCGAGACATGCTCAGCCAATCACAGGCCTCTCTCAGGGAGCCGGTTCTCTCCTCCTTTGATCCTCCTCGTCTTTCATTGCTCATTTTGTTTCTCCTTCTCGTCTCTCTGACGTTTCAAACGTCATTTTCTTCTTCATCCTCGATTCTTTGACCTTCAGGGATTCCTGAACACGACTCGCTCCATTCTCCTCCTCTCTCTCCTGATGCGCCTGCTGTTATGTAATCCTCAGCCAATCACATTCATTCAGTGTGACGTCACAGAATGGAGGCCGGGGCGGGGCATCCATCAACTACAACGTTCTTTGCTGATTTGTGCATGTTTGAGCTGGTTGGTCGCCACGGTGTTGGGGATTAGATGACCTCAGGTTTCGACCGCGGTCACTTCCTCGTCGTGTCCCACAATGCACCTGTGACAAGGTGTTACATAACAGCAACAGAGCGGGAGGCTCAACCAATGGGAGCGGACAAAGTCATGCAAGGACAGATTCCCTCATGCAGACTAGAGCTGTGAGAACCATTAGCTCCACCAGTGGGACCAGTCTGATCAATCACAGCATCGACGAGCATCACCAGCTCTGGTCCAGAGGTCATGACCTCAGACCTAGAAACAGGAAGTGTCTCCTCTCACTTCTGCAAAGGGAAGGAAACAGATCGAGCTCCGAAGGTCAAACGCCTGGAAGAGAAAAAGCTCAGCAGCAGTTCTGGACTTCCTGTTTCAGACAGTTCCCAGAACTGTCTGAAACAGGAAGTTTCAGACAGTTCTGGGAACTGGAGAGGCTCCAGTTCAAACTGGTTCTTCATCTGGAGCTCCTTGTGTTTTCAAACCCTCTAAATACAGTCATCGATCGCTTCATAGTGGTTCATATCAACAAGATGGCCGCCTGACGGCGATGTGTGGGGCTGAAGCTCTGGAGGCCATCGGAGGACAGGAAGAGAAACTGAACTGTAAAGCAGTTCCATCTTTATGTTTCAGTGCAAATTGAGTCATAATTGTGTTTTAATTCTGTAATATTTGGCCTAAAAGGCCTCAGTGCTGCCCTCTTTGAGGTGAATGCTGGTATTGCAGTTGAATTTTCCTATTGGTTCCAACAGTTCTTCATCATCCAGTCACTTAACTGAAAAATGTGTAGATTCATTGACATTTAGAAAAAACAAAAAACTTCAAGATTTGTTTCTAGACACTTTTTGAAAATATGTCACAAGAAAGCAGGTCATCACTTTTACTTTCTCCTCACATCCAACACCTGGCCACGCCCCTCCGTGTATCTTGGCTCCGCCCACTTTGTTGAACATTTAAAAAATTGCCAGGACTAATGAGACCAGGCAAAGTTTCCACGTCTGTCATTTCTGCTTTTATGAACCTGTGTGAACTGCAGCCTCGGCTTCCTGTTGCAGCAGGATAATCACAACTGGGTGTGTATGGAAAATCAATCCTGTTGGTTCCCAAACCGTACTGGTATCAATACGTCCGGCTGCATGGAAACCAGTCTGAACCTTCAAAACCAAGGTCAGAGTCAGGGTGTGAGAGCGGTTATTTTTAGGCATCGATGACCTCCTCTCTACCAGCTGGTCGTCATGGAGACGAGACTCAAAAGTGCGGCCTGAGCGTAGCAGGAGGCGACGCTGAAGGACGGAGGATGAAGAGCAGAAGGAAAGCTGAAGGTGTTCAGATCAGCTGATCAGTAATCTGCTGCTCCGTGTGTGTGAGTGTCTGTGTGTGTTAGAGTGTTAGAGTGTGTGTGTGTGTGTGTGCATGTGTGTGTGTGAGTGTCTGTGTGTGTGTGTGTGTGTCTGTGTGTGAGTGTCTGTGTGTGTGAGTGTCTGTGTGTGTGTGTGTGTGTGAGTGTCTGTGTGTGTGAGTGTCTGTGTGTGTGTGTGTGTGTGTGTGTGTGTGTGTGTGTGTCTGTGTGTGTGTGTGTGTGTCTGTGTGTGTGTGTGTGTGGATTATCTCATTAGCTGTGTTAACCAGCAGCTGCTTCAGCCTCGTGAACCTGAGGAAGTTTCTCCTCAGTGAAAACAGAGCTGAGATCGGTTCTGCAGGCTGAAGACATGAACGTTGATTCGACCCAAATGCTACAATCAGATCATATTTCTAAGTATTTATGTTTTTCTAATTATAAAATTACAGTTAAATCTTAAGAAAAATGTCATTTAACTGAATTACATTTTCTTTCCTTCTTTTCTGCTTATTGTTGGCAGAATATCATAAGACTTTATTGTTTTAGATCATTGCAGAATGTAAATGTTCTGCCTGCTTATTCCAAGTTACATAAAACTACCGTGGATTATAACTAATGAATAAATAGATTTAAATACAGATTTACAGTTCATGCAACTTCACAAGGCTGAGAAAAGTTTAGTTGTAAACTGTAAATTTTAGTGATTTAATATTTTACATTGAAAATGTGAAAGCCTCATTCACTCTGCATTATTATTATTATTATTATTATTATTATTATTATTAATGATAATAACAACAATAGTAGTAATGTGGAGGGACTGAACACACTTCCTGTTCTCAGGTTTTCGGGGTTTAAATGAATGAATCGTTTGTTCACAAAACAAATTTAGGAAATTGATCAAATCAAGTAAAAATAAAGTGATCAAACGTTGGGTCAGCTCTGATTAAGCTACATTAAGACGTAGGATTTTAAAACATCAGATGTTTATCTGCCGTTATGCTGTAATAACTGTGATGTAACAGCAGATTAAACATCCTTGGTTTGTCTCTTTAAATAGAAACGGATCGTCTCCTGGTGAACAGCTCGCTGATCAGTCCCTTCCTCCGTCTTTCACCTCGTTGCTGAACAAAGCGGTCATGGTGGCTGACCACCGGTTGCCTGGTAACCGGGCTCTGAGGGTCGGCGCTCAGATGGACGAGGCGACAGCGAACGCTGCATCTGCTGACAGCCGCTGTTCAAAAGCTGCCAGCTGCCTTTGTTCACATGCATAAAAACTTTACTCAGCATGCAGGACCACGACCGGAGCGGCCGCACCGGCTGAATGAGGCCGTGATGTCATCAGCGCCGAGCGCAGCAGACAGGAAACGCCTCCATGTTCAGACAGCTTTCCTTCTGCCACGTCCTCAGCCGGACTCACAGATATTAAACCAGGAGGAATCGGAGGAGTTTGGGCCCACATCCGACCCAACAGAACTTGAACTAGTACTTCACACACCACAGAAAAACTGATG